TAACGGGGAGCAAACAGGACATAAAGGACTAAACGCTAAGAAAGTCTGAGTGCTGTGGCGATCTGGGCTTGCTCACGGAACAAATGATGAGAGGAGTGTATGATGCTAATAACGGGCAGCTGGGTGCAGGCGATATGGGGACTCTACCTGCTTTGCTGTTTTTTGGTAAATATAAAACTTTTTAAAAAAAGTTTTTAAGTTTATTATTTCTTTTTTTTCTTTTTCTTTTTCTTTTTTTGAGATGAAGTCTTGCTCTGCCACTCAGGCTGGAGTGCAGTGGCGCAATATCTAATATTGGCCTCCCGGGTTCCGGTGATTCTCCCACGTCAGCCTCCGAGTAGCTGGGACTACAGATGCGCACCGCCGCATGGGCGCCCACGCCCGGCCCTTACAGTTTATTATTTTAAAAAGAGCTGGGTGACGTTGTAGCAAATAGCTATACAAACATGCCCCAGTGAGAGAGCAAGGGAGTGCAAACTGGTTTTTTGTTTGGTTTGGTTTCAGAGGCGGGGTCTTGCTCCGAGGCCCAGGCTGGAGTGCAGTGGCGTCATTACTGCTCACTGCAGCCTCAAACTTCTGGTCTCAGGCGGTCCTCCCGCCTCAGCCTTCCAAAGCTCTGGGATTACAGGTGTGTGCCATCATGCCAGGCCAGGTGTGGCATTTAAACTGGGATCCTGACACATTTCATTGGTAAATTTCAATTTTTCAGGCAGCATATGTAAATTCAGTTTGGAAATTGCTTCGTTATGCTCTGAAAATTCCAGCAAGGAGAGAGCAAGAGTGTCTCACGAAGATGACTACACTCTCCTGGAACGGGGCTGTGCGTGTCACTGAGACAGCTGAGGGGAGCCAGGTCTGTGCCCGCAGCATAAGCTAGCCCACGCATAATGTGATCAACATTTTCACTGAGTGCTGACGAGTGCTGTGAGCAGGAAGGAGGAGGCCGAACATGATGGGTGGAAAAGAACAGTGTTCACAGTTAGGACGCCTGCTTCTAGGCCCCCCTGGACTAGCTGTGTGCCCCAGGGGACCCGCCACTGCTCAGTTTCCTTATCTGTAAAATGGGTGTGCAGGCAGGTGCGGTGGGGCTGGTGGACTGCCAGCGTCCATGCACATTGCTTGCCACCCATCACGTGTCAGGCTTTCGGCTAGGTGATCTCAGCACCATCCTTCAAGGATTCTGTGACTACCCCCATTTTTCAGATTAGGAGAACCAGGGTCCAGAGACGTCCCATGAATGCTAAAGCCAGAAGGTGAGTAAGTGTTCTACAGAGAGACACACCTGGGTTCAAAGCCAGCTCCAAGACTATTTAGCGTCCAGTCTATTCTCAACCATTCCATGCGCCGCTGTCTCCAAGGTCTGGCCAATCCTGACATTCCAGGGCCCACACTCTCATTTCTTTAAGGGTATCTGTTACCCAGGCGAGTCTCGAACCAGGTCTGAAAACACAGCTGCGAGTGAAGCGCCTGCCTCGCTCTCTGGAGCGGGCACCTCGGACTCCGGGAGAGCAGCCCTCCTGGTCCCTCTGGTCAGGCAGCCCCTCACCCTCCCCAGCAGCCCCGCTGGGAGTCCAGCCTGTCTGGCCCTTTCTGCTGTCTTAACTAAGATGACAGGCTTCAGCTGTTTTTTAAATCAAAACGGTTTGTTTCTGTTCATCTCTTTTCCAGATGTCACTACCTGGAGGGAATCTGTCTTTATTTATTGGCTCTTTCCTGTGTGGAATAGCAAGGGAGTCTCCCTCCGGCTGAGATCCCCGAGAAGGAGGCCACATGTGGGGAGTGACTTGAACCAGGACGGCAGGAAGCTGGGGTCCCCGGGGGCCTCAGGACAGAGGTCATGGTGGAAACCCTGGGAGGTGGGCTTGCCGTGAGGATTTTCTCCCGGCCACGTGGCACATGTGTGGCTGAGATGAGGCGTGTGGCAGGGTCAGCACGTTCCCTGCTGGGCTGGGAGGCTGCGAATTTACGAGGGGCGGAGGCAGCCCCGTGTCCGTGTCTTTCCCGTTGCCAGCTGCAGTGAAGGAGGGTGTTTGTTTTCCTGTGTGACAGCAGACTGGGAACTGAACTGGCTTCCAGCTGCTTTCTCGATGACACCCTGTGCTTTCCTTTCCCGGCTTCGCTACAGCCCCCTCTGCCTAAAGGCCAGCTTCTCTCACCTTCTTCTCCAGTCTCTGCCCCCAGCCATCCTGACTCCACTCTGCCCTCTCCATCCAGCCTCCAACAGCCGCCGCAGGCTCCATCCACAACTCACTTCTGAGCAGAACCCCCAGTCCTGCTTTTCATCCTCCAGGCTTCCTCTGTCCCAGCGGGATAAAGCCCAAACTCTCTGGTTGGCCATGGAGCCCCTTCCCAAGCCTGTCCCCAATCCTCCAGCTGCCCCCTCTACGTGGCCCCGGACTCCCTGGGCACCGCACCCACTCCCACACCCCGAGCTGTTCCCTCTGCCGGCAGCCTTCTCCCTGGGGCCCTGCTCCACATCAGCTCCTCTGGAAAGTCTTCCCCACCCTGGCCTGCAGAGCCCGAGACACGCCCGTGGGATGCAGGCATTGCACCAGCTTCCCACTGCCTACCGATGGGCTGCCAAACCCCCTGAGTCACCCAGAGCCCTGTCAGGATGAGGCCGCGCCCTGTCCAGAGTGGCATCCGCATGCCCGGCACAAGCCCAGCACAGAGCAGCTCTGGACGGTGCTGGCTGACCACAGGATATGGTGAGAAACCGAATGAAGCTGACGCCAGCTCCTCAGGGCGGGGCGCTTCTCTTGCCAGTCTAGGATTCCATAGCGTGCCCTGCTCTCAGGACACCCTGGACAACGTGCCCCCGAGGGCCGTGTCCCGATGACCCCTCTTGTCACTCACAGGCATTCTGTGCAAAATGAAAGGTCACAGTGTTCCCGAAGGAGATAAAAAGGTTGGTTTCCTGACAGGCATTCCAAGGGGATGATTCTGAAGACGCCGCGTGCATGTTCCTGTGGGGACATTTCCCGGGATCACTTTGTAGTAACATTCCATAGACTCGTCCCACACCCCAGAACTATGAGAAGTTGGGGTTGGTCAAGGAGCCAAGAGGTACACTGGCTATGCATTTACCAAGACCCACAACATATGCCGAATATGCATTTACTGAGGGGCCCTCAACAAGGTACGCCGATTACGCATTTGCCGAGACCCGCAACAGACGCTGAATGCGCATTTACCGAGACCCGCAACAGACGCTGAATGCGCATTTACCGAGACCCGCAACATACGCTGAATGCGCATTTACCGAGACCCGCAACATACGCTGAATGCGCATTTACCGAGACCCGCGACATAACGCTGAATGCGCATTTACCCACAACATACGCTGAATACGCATTTACCGAGGCTCACAATATACGCCGAATATGCATTTACTCAGGGGCCCTCAACAACATACGCTGAATACGCATTTACCGAGACCCGCCAGGTGAAGAGCACTGGCTGGTGCCGGGGCGTGGATGTGAGTTGGACAAGGCTTGCCCTCGGGGGCATCCATTTCAGTGGGAGGAGTTGCCCAGGCATAAAGGAGCACTGACCACAGCAGTGAGTGTCCCCTGTGCCCCGTAAATGCGGAAAGTGAAGGCCGCGGCGGGGCTAGGGGAGGGGTGCAGAGACTGCTGGCAGGGGGAACCCGCTCTGGAGGGAGGCCAGGACTTGAATTAAGACAGAGAGCTTGTAAGGGGTGGGGATTCAGGCGAGGGGCGCAGGGCAACTGAAATCCAAGAGGTGGCATGGCACAGGACCTGTCCAAATGACAGTGACTCCGCTTGGCGAGCAGGCTGTTTATGCACCAGACACACGAGAGAGGAGGTTGAAGGGACCCGCGGGCACACGGTAGGCCCGTCCGCCAGGTGAGACCTCATCTCTGAGACGCCCTTGGAGACTGCCTGGGCACCCGGCAATGGGGGAGGGAGAGGGAGCCCAGGGGTGCGCATCCTCACTGCACTGCAAGCCAGAAGGGCTCAGTGCCCACATCGGTATGCAGCCACAGGCATTCCTGCACCTTCCCTGGCAGGACATGGGCTGGAAGACAGACAGCCCATGAAGAACTGGCCTGGCCCTGGGCACAAAGAGCCACAGGCTCAGCTTCTCTGGCTTCTCCTGTCCTCTCCCCAGAACCCAAGGGGCAGAATGAGAATGACCGTGCATGTCATCTGGCCCAGCCCCCACATTCCCAGCACCGTGCCAGTCCCCTTGGTAGCATTCCAACCTTACAGCCTGGTACCGGCCCCTTCCCCGCACCCGGAGCTGCGCCTCTACAGGGCTCTGCGGCCCTGCTGCGGGATCCGGCGGCCACCCCTTCCTGATCACCCCAATCCGCCTCCTCTGAACTCCTCTGTCCCACTCGCATGGGAGCAGCCCCCTCATCTGACAGAGGGCAGAGAGGTGGCCTGACTTGGCTGGAGTCCAGCGGGGGTGGGAGCAGCAGGGCTGGGCCTTGAACGCAGGCCTCTGGATTCCCAGCGGGACACCCTGGCCTCTGCTGAGCCCATCCTCGCAGGGCCCAGCACCGGCCTCTCTGAGTCTTCATCACGGCTCCTGGAGGATGGGGAGTACTGTCAGCACCTTCCTGGGGCTCTGGGCATCCTGAGTGGCAGTGGGCATACTGTGGTGCCCAGTGACCCTCAGCACATAGAATTAACCCCTGACTTTAGCGACGGACCATCTCTCCGAGAAGCCACTGATGAACTGAGGCGGGCGACTTGGCAGGCTCAGGTTGGGGAGCTGAAGAGTCACCGTGCTGCCGTGGAAAGAGCGCTGGCCTGGGAGTCGGGGCTGGGCCTGTGCCTGGCTGGGCTGCACATCAGCCACCCTGGAGATGTGTCCCCTTCTCCAGGCTTCAGGTTCCCCATGAGTCCAGCAAGGGGCTGGAGGAACTCTGTGACCTCTGCTGGCCCCGCAGCTCTAACAACCCGTGGCTTTAGGCGCTGCCAGAGTCCCCAGCAAGACCGTGGACAGAGCCGACAGTGGTGGCACCTTACCCCTTGCTCCTGACAGATCTGCGTCAGCCTCTCCAGCTGCTCGTCTTGGATGGCCTTGGCCTTCTCGTACTGCTGGATAACCATCTCCATCTCCACCTTCACTGGCAGGACGTAGGCTGAAAGACAGAGACAGCCCTGTAAAGAACTCGGCCATGGCAGGGCTTGGGCTGGGGAAGGGCTGGCCCAGCATTCAGCCAGCAGCAGTTCTGGGCCAGCTCTCGGTGGATCTAGAGGGGAATGTCCAGGTACCCGACAGAGGGCCACAACCTTCCCTCACAGGGTCGGGGTCGCTGTTTCCCACAGTTCTAGAACCCTTACTTTTGGGCTGTGTGCACGGCTGCCTGGAATAAAGACTATTTTCCAGCCTCCTTTACAGCTACGGGCGGCCACAAGAAGACCACGTTCTGGACCCCAGGACGCTAGCGAGGTGGTATGCGGCAGTCACAGCAGCCTTCTTCACAAAGGAGCTGGGGCCAGGGAGGATGGGGCGGCCCTAGAGCCTGCGCACGCTGGCGGAAAGGAAAACAGGGCAGCCACTTAGGAAAACGGTTCGTCCGTTTTTCAGAGTGTTCAACAGAGAGTGACCATAGGACCCAGAAATTCCATTCCTAGGTAGCTTAGGGCAAGGAAGAACATGTGTTTACCCAAAAACTCGCACGTGGACATTCACAACAGGAGTATTCCTCATGGCCGAAAAGCAGACATGACTCATTTCACCCACCGATGAAAGCCTAAATAACCCGTGGTCTGGCCACAAAGTGGAGTACTACTTGGCAATGAACAGGGGTGCCGTCCCACCACAAGCCACAGCACAGATGAGCCGCTAATGCATGATGCTAAGTGAGGGTGGCCAGACACAGAAAAACCACGTCGCATGATTCCATTTACATGAAACGTAATGGAACAGAACAGGTAACTCTATAGAGATGGAAGGTAGCTTAGGGCTTGCCCAGGGCTGAGGCGGGCGTGGGAAGTGACTGCTGATGAGGGTGGCCTTTCTCTCTGGAGTGACGAAAATGTTCCAGACTTGGATTTTTTTGGTGATGGCTGCATAACTCTATGAATAGGCTAAAAGCCCCTGAACTGAGATGGAGTCTTGCTCTGCTGCCCAGCCTGGAGTGCGCTGGTGTGATCTCAGCTCACTGCAACCTCTGCCTCCCCGGTTCAAATGATTCTCCTGCCTCAGCCTCCCGAGTAGCCAGGATTACAGGCACCCACCACCACGCCCGGCTAATGTTTGTATTGTTAATAGAAACAGGGTTTTACCATGTTGGCCAGACTGGTCTCAAACTCCTAACCTCTAGTGATCCACCCACTTCAGGTTCCCAAAGTGCTGGGATCACAGGTGTGAGCCACCATCCCTGGCCATTGTGGACTTTAAATGGGTGAACTTTGTGGCATATGAATAATATTTGGATGAAGATGTTTAAAATGAGAAAGCAGTGGGCCTTCCTTTTGCCTCTTTATTCTCTTCCCTTATTCCTTCTTCCTGGCTGGGATAAGGATGTGATGGCTGGCACGGGAGCAGCCATCTTGGACCTTGAGGTGACTTTGAAAAGTACGCTAGGGGCAGCAGAGCAACAGAACAGAAAAACAGGAGCCTGGGCTTTTCACTACAGGGAATAAGTGACTGTAGTCAAGGCCATTATCAGCCTTGGACCACCTGCCTACAGACTTTTCTTTGTTTTGAGACAGAGTCTCACCCTGTCACCCGGGCTGGAGTGCAGTGACACAATCTCAGCTCACTGCAACCTCTACCTCCCAGGTTCAAGTGATTCTCATGCCTCAGCCTCCCAAGTAGCTGAGAGTACAGGCATATGCCACCACGCCCAGCTAATTTTTTCTCTTTTTAGTAGAGATGGGATTTCACCATGTTGGCCAGGCTGCTCTCAAACTCCTGACCTCAGATGATCCACCCGCCTCAGCCTCCCAAAGTGCTGGGATTACAGGCGTGGGTCACCACACCCAGCCTGCAGACTTTCACATGAATGAAATACGCTTCTGCGTTAAGACAGTTATTCTAGGTCTTTGATACACAGATGATCCTATTTATAACTGATAAGTGAGACCCAGACGAGAAAGCCTGGCCTCTGAGATTGAGGCCCCCTGCTCCGCCAGCCAGCAGTAGCCCCATGCGAGCCTCCTCTGGTAGTTCTGTGGGCTCAGAGTAGCTCTGGGCTCCCGGAAAGCCTCGGTGTCTACTCCTGACCTTCCCCTCACACTGATCCCACCCCCCTCAAAACCCAGCCCTTCCTGACTCTTCAGAAACCTCAGTCACATGCCTCTCTTGCCCCTGATTTCTAGAACCCTCCACACGTCCTCTCTCCGAGTCTCCTTTCTACCCGCAGCACCTCCAGATGTTTCCTGGCTGTTGCAGGAATCACGCAGAGAAGAGACATCAGGACTTTTCTGCTCGATTCCAGACTTGAGGGCCGGCTGCGTGTCCCTGAGACCCTCTCCAGGCCCGGAGGCCGCCCCAAGCTGCCCGCTTCCTCCTCACATCTCTGCTGAAGCCAGTTCACACCCAGGGTTAATTTGCAAGAGTAGCAAATGAAGACTCATCTGTCCACCAGCACGTCTCTCTCCTGAGGTGGTGGCTCCACGATGCCTGATGTGGCAGGAAAAGGGCGGGACAGCTGGGAGGTGTGTCTCAACAGGGGCTGTCAAAAGCCATTAGTCTGAGGGTGTACAGCTGTCCACAGCTGGAAGAAAGAGCCAGAAGGTGCCGTTCCTGCCCTGAGAGGGGCGGATGTTCTCATGGACACGGCCAAGGGCTGGGCCCCGAGCAGACTGTGGGGAGTGAGCAGCCGAAAGAGCGCTGGTGGGTGTTGGGGGTTCTAGGCTCCACGTCTGGTTCTCAGCCCGATTCACTGTGCGACCCTCATCCCTCCCGGCCTCAGTCTCCCCATCTGCCAAACGAGGGGAATGAACTAGGTGATCTCCCAGAGCCTCTCCAGCCTTCCGGAGGCTTCTGAAGTGAGACCCAAACACATTCCAGTCTGATGAAGATTCCGTATCAGGGGATCTCTGACTAGATGTCGGCATCGTCATCAGGACCAAAGCCCACAGCGTTACCAGGGCGGAGCACGGGGTGAGGAGCAGGGAGAGGGAGGCCGCCCTGAGGATGGCAGCTTCTGCCTCGCACCTGCTGGGGAAACGCTGGCAGAGTCAACTCACGGCTACAATTCCTGTCATCCGCAATCGAAATTCAGGGCTGGAAAAGACCACAGCGTCTACTCCGCTGGTTTTAAAACTGTGCACCAGGAGGCCGGGCAGTTCCTTAGAGGTGCCTCAGAGGGCAAGGGCGAGGGCAAGGGGGTGGGCTGCCTCCTTGGAGACCCCCACTCCGGGTCAACCAAAGCAGCTCCACTTGGGATCTCCTGCAGATCGGGTATGATTTCGCTGAAGAAAGGGCTTTGCAGTTAACCAAAGCAGCAAAACACCGTGGGAACCACCGTCTATACGACAACTTTCTAAAGACCCTGGGAACCACTGTCTATACAACCTCCCGGTCACGCTGGGGGGACCCCTCCCGGAGGCTGAGCAGCCCACTCTGAGTGGCTGTCCCTCATCTGGCTGAGGTAGGGTGGGCTTCCTCCTCCTGTCTTCAGGGGCCAGGGACCACCCTCTGGAGCCTGGTGACTTGAGTCTTCCCTCTTCCGCGAGGTGACTTCAGCGTCCTCCCTGTGACGTCGTCCTCTGGGGCAGCCCCCACCTCCAGTATCCCGCACCATTCTTCGGGGGGGGTTGCCGCCCCCATCTCCTCTTGACCACATACTCTGGTCCGTTACCACCTTCTGGAAACACAGGAGCCACCCAGCGCAGGACGTACATCTCCAGGCAAGGGTGGCCCAGTAGGGAGGCGATGAGAAAGCAGTGACAATGGAGTGGAGACCCGGCGATGGAAAGGCATGTCGCTACAGATGAGAAAACACAGGTCAAGCGCCCGCCGCTGCCAGCAGCTCCCACAGAAACCTTTTCTCCTTGTCCGCAGGTTGACGGGCTGGTGGGCACCCAGCTTGTCCTCGGTGGACTCAAAGGTAAGACAGAGCCTGCAGGGAGCAGGGCCTTGGCCAGATGACCCAGGCAGAGCCAGTGGTGAGGCAGGCGGCCATCAGGGAGCCGGCGGCAGGGTGCACCGAGATGCCCAGGTGGAAACGTCTGCACGTCTGCTCCTTCCAGAACAGCAGGCCCTGCACTAAGCGCCTGCATGGAGGCTGACCCTCCAGGCTCACGGTGAAAGGCTGCATGGGAATGAACACACGGCCCCTGAATGGGAGGCGGGAAGCTCAGCGTGTGTGCAGTGTGAGTGCCGTGTGACGGTGCGTGAGCAGGGATAGCTGGCCCCCCTCCCCGCTGACAGTTTCACCTGGCACCCTGATGCCAGCAGGGCTTGCCCCCATCGCGCGCTGTCTCCTCTCTCAGTTGGCAGCCCCAGTTTCTGGAGCAGCCCCACTGACCACGCCCCCCTCGGGCCACTCACCATCAATGACCCTCTTCACCCTCCAGATCCGGAGCATGATGATGAGGCTGATGGCGTCCCATGGGCTCCTGGGTCCGTTGGCCACAGTAGATGCCACCATCGGAGCCAAAGACAGGATGATCACCGCCCCGTCGAACACCTGTAAGAGGAGGTGCATTTCAGTGCCCTGGGCCCTGCTGCGTGTCCGAGACCAGGGGTCAGTCCGGCAAAGCAGCTGGTCTTCTTCAGCAGCCCGGGCCCCCACCAGAAGGCCACCCCATCCCTGGTGGCCCCTTCTGACCCTCCTAAGTCTTTAGGGGCCTCCTCCTCCTAGATGTTCTCCTGAGCGAACTCTGCCCTCTAAGTGACCCCAGCCCATCTCCGGCCCTTGGTTCAGATGGCCTTGGACTGTCTTTCCCCTTCTCAAGATAGGGCCTGCATCCTATATCCCAGGCCCTGGGCAGAGGCCAAGCTGGCTCCCTCCCTGGCAGGGCAGAGGCTGAAGGCAGGCTCAGGGTGCCTCCTTCCCCAGGAGAACAGGAGCCCGGGTCCAAATCTCAGCTCTGTCTGGAGCAGAGTCTCCAACCCTGCAGGGGACAAGGCTAGGTGAGGGCGCCTGCCTGCACCATGAAGCCCTGGGCCCTGCCTTCCATCCGCCTGCCCCAATCCGGCCTTGTCCTGAGCCTTTCATGGGCCAGGCACTGTGTGTGGGATCCCAGCACTGAGCCACAGAGGCTAGAATATACATGGAGAGCTGAGGAAAGGGTGGGCCGGAGATCCTGACCGCCTTGCCTTGGCCTGTGTGCACAGCACTGCCAGCGACAGCCAGCCCTCCCTGACCTCATCCCCACCCACGTGGGGGGAAGCAGGATGGAAACCCAGCCTGAGAAGCGCGTTGACGGTTTCCCGCTCAGCTCTCCATTCAGGGTGGATTTATTTGTTTTAAAACACACTTCAAAAGGTTTTCAAACTGATTCGAGAAGAAATTGTAAAATTTTGCAGAACTTCAAGGAGACTGTTGTAGAACACCCCTTTGCTGGAAACAGTCTCGGTTCCCCCTCCCTGCCCCACCCAACGTGCGCAGCCACAGAGGTCAGGTGGGAGAAGGAGCCAGCCTTTTTGATGGCATCCATCCTGGGGCGGATGGGACGGGAGCTTCCCAGCTTGCAGGATGGCTGGGTGGGGGGGGGCTTGGGGGTGGACACTGGTCTTTACCTCTATTTTGTTTTCGATGTAATCCCAGATCCCAAGCACCACAATCCGTACAACGGTCTGAGGAAAGGAAGTGAGAAGGTGGTCATTCTCCAGGTCCGCGTCCAGCCGAGAAGATTCCAGAGCTCGGCATTCGGCCCCCGCGTTCGGCAGTAAGAAAAGGTCCCGCCGTCCCTGCGCGTTCCTCCGTCCTGTGTCCCCCACCCCGCTCCTACTGCAGGTGCCCCAGCTCTAGCCTCCTTGGTGGCCGCAGCTCCTGCTGGCTCCTCTGCCTGCAGGCTCGGACCCCCCACCTCTGTACCATCCCCTGGGAACCCCCGACGCCATCTTCAGTGATCCCTGTACACACAGAATACACTCCAAACCCCTCGGAAGGAGACCCAGGACCTTGCCTGCCTCTCCAGGGTCTTTTGCCACCCCCGTCATGCTGCAAACCACTCATGAATCTTCAAACATGTAAGCTCTCTCTCTCATGGCCTTGTCTTCGCACGTGGCAAAAGCTGCAGTGGACTCCCCTCCTGACCCGCCCCGACTCCAAATCTCTTCCCTCCTTCCTGTAGACCTGAAGCTCCAGCATGGCCACCCAGCGAAAAACTACATTTCCCAGCCTTCCTTGCATCTGGGCGTGGCCATGCGACATTCTGGCCAATGGCTAGCGAGCAGAAGCACTTTGGGTTGTGCCCTTAAATGATTTAGGCTCCTCCTCCTCCTCAGCTGTCTTCCCAAGGCCTGGAATTGGGTGCATGGGTGGGGTGGTGTGCCGTCTTCAACCAAGGAGGGCCAGGCTGCAAGACAGAAGCCTGCTGGGTCCCCAGGAGCCCCAAGCCACCACATCAGCCTTGCCAATCCACATAACGTGTTCTTCCATGAGAGAGAAATGGATCTTGCCTTGTTTAAGCCCCTGTGTTTTTGGCTTTCTTGTTACAGCAGCTTGGGCCATTCCTGAGTCGGGAGGGCTTTCCCCTTCCTGTCCTTCTGACCCTGGTTTAAACGTCACCTCCGCGAAGCTCTTGCACACTCCCGGCTCAGCAGGCACCTCCTTCCTGGGCGTTCCCATGATCCCTGGGCGTCACCCTCCCACAGCACTTCTCTGTACCTTGTGCTGATTCCTTCCCCACCCCCCAGTGGAGGCTCAAGAGACCTGGTCTGCTTTCTCTCTTTTATCCCTAACACCTGGCATACATAGTTACTGAATGCCACTGCCTTGAGGAGCGGTTTCCTCACCAAGAGGACATCTTTCTCCAAAGCAGCTTCTTAAACGCTGGTCTTGTAAGATGCTGGTGTGTTTGTCTACAGGCTCTTCCTTGAGCCAACAAGACTTTAATTAACAGTGATTCACACCAGATGGTGCCTCTCTCCTGCCTGCCTGTACTACAAGCCCAGCCTTCTAAAGTCCGAAAACCGCCCAGAGGATCATCACCCACAGCTGTTACGCCACAGAAAGGCTTGGCTGGTAAAATCCAGCTCTTTCTCGTGAAGGACAGTCTTGATCTCTGTGAAGGGATGGGCAGGCGGATGCTTGTGGTGGACAGTCAGGTCGCCTTCTCTGAGTACAGAGAGGAGCATGTGGCAGTCCACTCCTCTATGACTTCCCGCTCTCTGGACGGGCAGCCCATGCTTAACCACAAGACAGCTCGAAGGAGTGGGAAGAGATCTGGGTGAGGGGCCACCATGTCTTGAGATCATAGCTTAATAACGGGATAGTTGTGTGGCCTTTGGCCACTCAAATCCCCTCCCTGGGCCTCAGTGTCTCCTTCTGCCAAAGAGGTGGGTTACATGTTAACAACTCTTCCAATTATTTATGAGGATAATATCTGCCATCTAGTATACGTCTATGAGTGCCAGACCCTGGGCCAGCCCTCCTCACATGTGATTCCCATTTTACAGGAAGGGTCAGAGAAGTTAAGGAAGCTGCCCACAGCCACGCAGCAATCAGGAATAAAGTCAACATTTGGCCCCAGAGGTCTCTGGCGCTGCACAGTGCGCTCAGCTGTGTAAGAACACCGCATAACAACCAGGTGCAGCGGCTCACACTAATCTCAGCACTTTGGGAGGCAGAGATGGGCAGATCACTTGAGATCAGGAGTTCAAGACCAACCTGGCCAACATGGTGAACCCTCCCCTCTACCAGAAATATAAAAATTAGCCGGGCATGGTGGCACACACCTGTAATCCCAGCTACTCAGGAGGCTGTAGCAGGAGAATTGCTTGAACCCAGGAGGCAGAGGTTGCAGTGAACTGAGATCACACCACTACACTCCAGCTTGGATGACAAAGAGAGACTCTATCTCAAAAAAACAAAACACACACACACCACATAATAATATGGTTTCTTCTGTCACTGCCCAACCCCTCTAACTGTGCTGTGATTGAAACTTAGCATCTGTCTCCTCTGAAATGCTACAATAGCCACATCTATCCTGAACTCAATTCTGGGGCTCCCAAAACAAAAGTCCAGGCTGGGATGGATGGGACCAGGGCCTGGTGCAAATGTAATTTCTGCTATGGCAACTGCTCCCACGAAACACCATCTTAACCATTCTGAAGTGTCCGTGTGGCGTGAAGCACGTTCACGTTGCTGTGCCACCGTCCCCATCACGCACCTTCACAGCTTTCTCGTCTGCCAAACTGAAACTCGGTACCTGCTGAACAGCAACTCCCCATTCTACATTCTGTCTCGACAAATCCGACTCCTTTAGGAGCCTCAAAGGAGAGGCATCGCCATGCTTCTTCGGAAGCAACACTCTTCTTAGCTGACAAGGCAGGGGCCCAGGAGTGAGGGGAGGGGAGGCTGGCCAGGCGGGGGACTCAGCCGGCAGCGGTGAAGCCGAGGAGGTGGCAGACAGCGCACCCAGGCCTGTGCCCCTGGGGAAGGGAAGAGGCTGAACGGTTTTGTGATCCAGGGCAGTGCCAGGGAAGCAGACAAAACAGCTGGAACGCTGCCCACTGCCTTCCCTCCTTGCCGGCCCCACCCGTCCTTGGAGGCCTGGCTCAAGCCCCCTCCTCTGGGAGCCTTTCCTTCCTAGCTCAGCCCGTGGAAACAGAAGAGCAAGAGGCCGCTGTGGGGCTGGGTCCCAAAACCCCTCCCGGCCAGGCTCCTGCCAGAGAGGGGGAAGTGGTGGCTCCAGGTCAGGGTCAAGGTCACCGTGACCCTGGGTCTGAAACACCCCACCTGCTGGCTTTTCCCCACAGCATCCTTCCCCTCCCCAGACACACTGTCCACGGAGGCAGGGACAGAGCCTCACTGCCCTGCCCCCGAGAGACCCGTCCTTCGCAACACAGCGGGGTTGATGTAAAACACGGATTCCTGGACTCTAATGGAGAGCCAGGATATCAGAAACTCTGGGCACAAGGCCCGGAATATGCTTTTTTAAAAAATTTTTTGAGACGGAGTTTCGCTCTTGTTACCCAGGCTGGAGTGCAATGGCACGATCTCGGCTCACCGCAACCTCCGCCTCCTGGGTTCAGGCAATTCTCCTGCCTCAGCCTCCCGAGTAGCTGGGATTACAGGCACGCGCCACCATGCCCAGCTAATTTTTTGCATTTTTAGTAGAGACGGGGTTTCACCATGTTGACCAGGATGGTCTCGATCTCTTGACCTCGTGATCCACCCGCCTCGGCCTCCCAAAGTGCTGGGATGACAGGCTTGAGCCACCGCGTCCGGCCCGGAATATGCTTTTTAAACAAACTCCCCTGGAGCACCCAATGGAACTGCAGGGATGTGTCAGGCAAGCCTGCCCTGAGTCCCAACAGACCACAGGCCCAGAAGCAGTAAGGAGAAGGGGCATCAGATGACGAGACGAGAGTCTGATCCTCTTTCTTGCTCTGACCATTCCTTACCAAGCACCGGACCCTGGCTGGATCTCTGGACTGAAAGCAGATCGGTGACCCTCGGGCTGCCACCTCCAGGGCTGCTCCAGAGCTCAGGGAAGTGCACGGCTCACTAACAGGGCAGGGTGGTGATGAGGGATTGCCCCATGCGAGCCCCAGCTCCAGCCCCAGCCTGAAGGCCCGCGGCTTTGCAATGCTGGCCCCTAAAAGTTGCAAAGGGCTTCGAAGGAGCACCTGAGGGCGCTGGAACCCCCAGCTTCAGACACCTCCTTTCCCACCTGGGCTAGGGGTTTCGGCCTTCTTCATTCCAGTCTTGCCTTCAGGAGGCTGCTCTGATGAGCGATGCAGGCCAGAGCCTCGGCAAACACTCAACGATGGTGCCATTTATTATTTACTGGGAGCAAGCTTTTACGCCGTTTGAGAGATGCAGAAACCGAGGTGCGAAGAGTGGCAAGTGAACCTTCTGGTCCCTGGCCCCCTCCTGCCTTCCACCTCAGGTGCCTGCATCATCTGTTCCTGATCAAGCCCTGCTCTCAAGAAGGGACTCTCATCTCTTCCAAGGGAAGGAAGAGCTGACTTCTCTGAAGGAAGGGATCCAGGCTTCGGGCTGTGCGAAGGGAGAGTGGAAAGTCCCAACCCTTGCGCCTGGGCCAGGCCCTGCCTCAGTAAAATGTTTGGAAACCTTGGGAAGTAGCTGTTAGTCTATAAGCTGGCTTTGTGCCTTTTTTTTTTTTTTGAGACGGAGTCTTGCTCTGTCACCAGGCTGGAGTGCAGTGGCGCAATCTCAGCTCCCTACGACCTCTGCCTCCTGGGTGCAAGTAATTCTTCTGCCTCAGCCTCCCAAGCAGCTGGGACCAGAGGCACCCACCACCACACCCGGCTAATTTTTTGTATTTTTAGCAGAGATGGAGTTTCACCATGTTGGCCAGGGTGGTCCCGACTTCTTGACTTCATGATCTGCCTGCCTCAGCCTCCCAAAGTGCTGGGATTATAAGCATGAGCCACCATGCCTGGCCAGCTTTGTGCACATTTTTAAAAGGCAGAGGGAGATCCCCAGGGGCTGGACACCCCTGTGGCCTGCACAGCCTTCCCCACACGTGGGGCCGCCAGCCAGCGAGAAGGGAGCGGCCCGGGTCTAGCCCCAATCCTGTGGCCCCTCGACACTGCCACCAGGGGATTGGGGGCGTGGGGTGGTGTGTGGCTTAGGGGAGCAGGGTGGCCTACGGAACAGCCACCACGGGTACGAGGCGCTGGGGGCTGACCCCCGGCACTTCCTTAAGAAGGAGATCTGCTCTTGGGCAGATTTTCCCTGCGGTGAAACTACACTGGCAAGGGGAAGATGTGGATTCCAGGATCCACATCCAAGGCCAAAATAAGAAACGTGAACATCTACGTGGCGTCTGGACGCCGTCACTAGTCCCACGCTGGTGAGAAGAGAAGAAAAACGGGCTGGACGCAGTGGCTCTTGCTCGTAATCTCAGCACTTTGGGAGGCCAAGTGGGGAGGATCAGTTGAGCTCAGGAGTCTGAGACCAGCCTGGGCAATGTGTTGAAACCCTGTCTCTACAAAAAAAAAAAAAAAAAAAAAAAAAAAAAAAGTTAGCCAGGTGTGGTGGCGCACGGCTGTAATCCCAGCTGCTCGGAGGGCTGAGGTGAGAGGCTCACTTGAGCCAAGGAGGTTGAGGCTGCAGTGAGCTGCGACCAGACCACTGCACTCCAGCCTGGGTGACAGTGAGACCCTGTCTCAGAAAGAAAAAAAGCTCTGGAGCAGCTCTGCTGTGCGGCCTCGTGGGTGAACCTAGAAAACAGGCTGAGTAAAAGAGGCCAGTCACAAAAGCCACATAGTGTGGGATTGTGTTTACATGAACTATCCGGCAGTGTTAAGTTGACAGAGACGAAGGCAGATTACCGGCTGGCCGGGGCTGCGCACAGGAGGGAGGCGGGGTGACTGCTAACGGGTATGGGGGCTCCTTTTGGGGGTGATAAAAGTGCTTTGGAATCAGGTAGAGGTGACGGCTGCTCATCGCTGCATGGGTGGTAAATGCCACTGAATCGTTCACTGTGGAAGAGAATTGCCCCTCAACAGGAGGAGGAGGAGGAAGAGGGGGAGCGGGGAGTCAGCCGCCGCCCCTGCCTGAGGCTCCCATCTAGAAGGCCAGCCACCGCCCGCCTTTCTGTTCTCCCAGGAAAAGAGCTGGGGCTGCCTGGGCCTTTCCGGACCGCAGGGATGGGACGAACACCCCACGGCCTCCCTGGGCCCTGCTGCAGGGTGGCCTGGCCTTGGCGAGGAGACCCCAAGGGCGGCCGCAGTCTCAGGGGAGGAGCAGCAGGCTTCCCAGTTCCAAGTGGCCAGCTGGGCCTGGCCTCCGCCAAGGGCGGGCTGTGCTTTGGAAGAACGTTTGCACAAATCTCCATCTGGATTGCAAGGCTCGGCTTATTCTTGGTGCTGCAGGGCCACGTGACACACAGTGACCCCGTGTGACCTGGAAGACTGGGGCCCAGGAAGTCTCACGGGCACCCACTCTCGCCTTGGGTCCCTGCAGGCACCCCTGCGCAGTCCGCCTGACCACGGGGCGCCCACTCGCCCTGCTTCGCGAGCGTCTGTCTCACTGTCACACAGCTTGGCCCATTTGAAAAGATGTCCTCAAACGGAGCCCAAACCAGCCTCACGCTCCCCATCTCTGGGCCTAGCTCTGTGGCCTGGGGCCAGCACAGAGCCCAGTGGCCCATCTTCCCAGAGCAGCCTGCAGAGCTCGAGGTGGGTAAAGGCCGGGCAGAGGCCCGCCACCCACCCAGATTTCTGCGCCTGGGCCCGCCTGCCATTCCCGCAGGCCCCGGGCAGGTGTCCGCACCTCTCCAGACCTCAGTTTCACAATCGTAAAATGTCCTATCCACCTTCCAGGGCTGGCCTGAGCCTCAGCTGAGCAGAGGGGTGGAGAACCGCTCAGGAGAGGCCCAGGACAGCAGGAGTCCTGAGTGGTGACCTTCCTGGAATTTCTGGTGGAGTCATGCCCACCCCCTAAGGCTGAGGAGGCTTGGAGTGCCGCCCCACACTCGGCCCACAGCCACATCCCCAAGTATTAACCAGGAAAAAACAGCCAGACCTGAAGAGGGGACGCTCATTTCTCCCAGCTGAGGGGGGTGCGGTCATCCTGGGTCTGTGGTCTGAGTGATCGTGGAGTCAGACTTTCTTTCTCAGGTCCTTCCCAGAGACGTCTGTCCCTTCCCACCCTGCCAGCTTCAGGGCCTCCAAAGGATGCAGTCAGGGACGAGAGACCAGCTTAGGCGGCCAGAGCCCCGGGTCCGGTTTTGGTCACAACTGGCTGCATAACCCTAGGCTGCCCTCCTCGCCTGCACGGTATTTTTGGAAAGATACCACTGGTGCAGGCTGACCCACCCCTGGTGGACACTGGGCTCCCCTGGCCCTTCCTACTCGGCATCCCAGTCATCGTGAAGGGCATAGACATGCTCGCACGTGTCCAAACCCTCCGGGGGCGGGGAACCTCCATGAGACCTTTAAAGCAACAGGGTGCTGACGCCGTGGGCACGCGGCAAGACCACGGAAATCCGCGCTTGCTGGCGTGGTGTGAGCTGTGTGTGTGTTCCCAGCAGGCTCCGTGCCTCACTCATTCATCACTCGATCCCCATGCACTGGCCCCTCCATTCGCACCGGGCAGAGTGCACTGGCCGGGGCGGGCCTCCCCTGCCACCTGTCGCCTGGCTCCACCCCCTCACCATCTTGGACAAGGTCAATGCCATGGAGCCAGCCCTTCCCCCCAGCTGCCTGCAGACCCTGCTCTCCCTGCTCAGCGGTGGGAGGCCCCAGGCCCTGCCTGGTTTGCGGGTGCCTGTGGGGGGCTCTGAGGCTGCGATTCCTTTGCACAGGGGTTTGTCTGTTTCAGGTGGCTTGTCTCCGGCAGTGACAGGAAGGGAATGCCAAATTAACGCTGGGCAATAAATTCTGCAAAAGCCAATAAAACCAAAGCAGAGGGATAGAGGGGAAGAACCGCAGCAACTGATTAAACATTTTTGTTGGCAGTCACAGACACATGGCACATTTTCCAAGGTTTGCCTCAAGGAGACATCTGGCCACGGCCCATGTATTTGCGGGAGGGAATCCCGGCCAGGCAGAGACACGGGGCCAGGGAGGGCAGGACCCACATGGGGGCCGTGAGCTGGGGAGCAGGCACTCTGCTCTGGGGGTCAGAGGCACCTCCAGGGCAGTGGTCTCAGGGGGGTGGTTAGGATCCTTCCTGGGAGGGCAGTGCTGGGATCTGCCCCCTCCATCTGAGCCTCAGGCCCAGGCTCTCCGGCGCTCCGTGGGCTACAGGAGGGGAGACCCGGCAAAGGGAACGTTCTGTGCTTGGACGCCTGCAGCCCCACCCACCACATCCCACACCTGGACTCAGACCCAAAGCCCAGCTCTCTCCTGACTTTTAGGGAGAGAGAGAGAGCAGAGCCATTAGCTAGGCTCGAAGGAACTTGAGAGGATGCTGGGACTCCTGACTCCAGGGGTTCCCTTCCTCGGCGCCTCTGCCCACACCACCCTCTCCCACAGCCTCCTTCCTCCCTTCAAGGCCCCTGCCTCGGGGTCCCAGAGCCCCTGTGCGTCGGTTGGGGCAGCTCCCATGGGCATGAGCCGTGTGTGTGTTCCCAGCAGGCGCCTCTCTCATTTCTGCCTTTCCCCGCAGGTTTGCTGGGCCAGGCTGAAAGGGCCACAGGACGCCACTGGCGCTAATGCGCACCCATATCGGGGATGGGAGGCTACAGGGTGGAGTGACAAGGGGCCCGCTGACGTGGGCTAGTTAGGTCAAACAGTTTGCCACACGAAGCTGTCCTGTCCCTCAGGGACCCTCCAGAGGGCCCCGGACAGGACAAAGCCCTGCCTGCAGCAGCCCACGCCGATCCTCCCACACCCACATGCAGGCGAGCGTCTCACCGTGACAGCCTGGGAACTGCTCAAACCAAGTGTCACTCACCCCCGTGCAAAACAGAGGAACGTGCTACGTCCCGGCTGCCCAGACATGTCAGCTTCTGCACCAGGCCCCGGGCCCCGAGGACCTCTGCCAACTTTCCCCGCTCCCCTCACCACAGCCAGCCGCACTTGGTCTCCCAGCTGACTCCAGTGACACTGATGGTGGCGGGGCGCTGTGCTGAGCCCCCACCTCCGAAACAGCCCGGCACCCACACGGAGAGGCACATCTCTCGGCCCCGTCAGACCCCGGGCCCCTGCAGGACCAGTCGGGTCCACTGCCTGGCCCTGTGACCCCATCGCCCCACCCGCTCTCTGCGAGCCTCGGCCCCAGGGTCCAGCCCACCGTGGACCGCAGCCACAGAGTCCCGGCGGCTCCCCTGTGCCAGCTCCTGGCTTCAGCCCCGCCTCCCGCCCGCTCCTTACTGGCCGCACCCACACTGGCTGCCCCTCGACGTCACACTCAGTCTCACCTTCAGCAGTGTCGTTCACCCCTCACCTAGAGAACACCCGCTCATCCTCTGCGCTTCCTCCCAGGGGTCCCCTGCCTGGGCCGATCCCCCTGGCTGGGTGGGGCTCCCTGCACCAGCTCCACCCGTAACGCTCAGCTGTCTGCATTGCGTCTTCCTGCCAGCAGCCTCAAGGGCCTGCAAGGGGCCCGAGGCTAGACACCGTTTCGAGAAGTGGACGTTGACTTCCCCCGGACAGGACTCACCCAGCAGAGGAGGTGACAGGGCCGGAGTCTCCACCTACCTCTGAGAAGAACACGGACAGAATGACCAGGCTGATCCAGTGAATCACACCAGCAAACTGGAACGCGCTGGAAACTGCAACACACACGATAAGGACCAATTTTAGGAGCGAGGAATTAGGTGCGTTGCTACGGGGGCTTCGCAGCATCCATGTGGACCTCTGGGACCCCCGGGCCCGCCTGCACGAATGTTTAGATCTGCTGGAAATCGGGTCCGAGAGCAAGGGCAGCTTTAGCTGGTCTGCAGCGAAGGCCGTGGGAGGTTCGTGAGCCAGCGACGCTGTTCTTTCCTCCAACCCAAGGGGCTGCCTCCTTCTCCCCGACAGGCTGCCCCTCTGAGCGCCTGCTTGGTCTTTGGTGGGCTTTTGGCTGTAGCCGGACTCCAGGAGAGCAGCCCTTTAGAGGAGGCTCATGAAGACGTTCGCGGCTTCGGGCTGTGTAGGCAGCTTCGGTGGAGGCTGGATGGGTTTTTTAGAAATCCAGCCCGTGGTTTACCCCCAAATTGCTGTGCACAGTTAGGGGACTCTAGGTGAGCTTACTGTGGCTTTTCATTCTGGAAACCCAGTGGCAGAGACGGTGGTGTCCGCCAGGGTCTTTCAGACAAAGACTGCAGTGAGGCCTGGCAGGGGAGCCGGGGCGTGGGGCAGGGGTGTCTGCCTTCCTCCCTAGAGCGGCAGAGCCGGTGGGCTGGGGGCTCATAAGCTCCCACGTTGCCCTACGTTCCCCCAGTTCTGGAGCGGGAGTGAGGGGAGCCGCCCCATCCGCCCCTGAGGGTTCCTGCCCCACCTTTCACCAGCCAATCCTCAGAGTGAAGGCATTTTCTTTGGAAAGCCCTTTTAAAATACACGAAGCCACGGGCAGCCTTCGAACCCTGGCATGGCACGGTGTTTAGCCAGCGAGGCTAAAAGCCAGATGCTGAGGCTCAGGACAAGGGTCGGGGGAGTTCTGATGGAGACTGGGTGGGAGGGATCACCCTGAGGCTAGAAGGCTCCCCAGAGGCCTAAAAAAGAGACTGTTGGGATACCCTGGGGTACTGGGGAAGGGCTGAGACAGGGCTGAGACAGGTGAGGTCAGGAGTGGTACACGTCTGCTCTGGCTCTATCACGGGCTGCAGCCAGGCCTGCTTGGCACACTGCTCAGAACCCCCCAGGGCCGAGGGAAAATGCCCAGTGGCTTCAGCGGGGAAGGCCACACTGAAACAAGGGAACCCACAACCTCTGCCGAAGCTCTGGGATCTGCAGACCCTGGGGGTGGGTAGAAACCAGGTCACGGAGCGTCACCAGGGGAAGAGGTTGCAAAACCACGTTCCAGGTGGGAGACTCCGGGGCCCCCTGGCTTTGGGCCAAGGCGACCCTTAGAAGATGAGCCCAGCGTCGGGCCACATGAATACCAGTGGGAAACGAAGGAGCTGAGGCCCGCGTGACTCCGAGGAGACCTCCGGATGATTCTGAAAACATAAAATCGCTCCCTATTATTTCTCAAATGAATTCCTGTGCCTTTTTTTACGGTTTGCTTTAGAAGAGCAATAAATCTCTGATTGTGCGTTTTATGGAATTTAAGATGCCTTTTATGAGCTGCTATTGGATCTCCCACCAAAATCAATCTCCCGGATACTTAATTTTAAGCAAAATTCCAGTGTCGGCCGGGTTCTCAGTTCTCAATGCCTGTCACAGCCCGAGCAGCCGAGGGTCCCAGGACAATCCGCCGCAGGGAAAGAAAGGCTCCGTTATGGTCAGGTCTCATAAAAAACAGACAGTATGGGTACGTGGGAGGGAAAGTATACAACATGGTTTAATTGAAGACAGGTTGAGTGTAAAACCGGTACCAGTCACTTTATGCTGGAAGACCCTTTAATTGGAACCAAGGGGCCACCAGCTGCATAAAACCCAACTAGGCTTATCAGACAAAAGCAATTCTGTGCTCACCGTTCATCCTCTCTCAGAGAGCAGAGAAGGCTCATGTGACTTGGAGGGAGCTTGGACAGACCCTGAGTTCACAGGGTCCCGTAATGGAATTGGGGACATTTGAGAAAGGAAGCCCAAGACGGCAGAATGGGTTTGGGGGTGACTAGATCTACGGTCCTGGATTTTCCCAATGGAAGGCAAAGAAATCTCTCTGGGACGGATAATTGTACCTCTTTCGGCTTTTTATTATTTATTTATTTGAGTTTTTTTGTTTGTTTGTTTTTTGAGATGGGGTCCCACTCTGTTGCCCAGGCTGGAGTGCAGTGACGTGATCACGGCTCACTGCGGCCTCAACCTCCCAGGCTCAGGCGATCCTCCCACTTCAGCCTCCTGAGTGGCCGGGACTACAGGTGTGTAGCACCACACACCTGGCTAAATTTTAAATTTTTTGTAGAGACAGGGTCTTGCTGTGTTCCCCAGGCTGGTCTCAAACTCCAGCGCTCAAGGGATCCTCCCACCTCAGCCTCCCCAAATGAGATTACAGGCGTGCGCCACCACACCTGGCCCGTGCCTCTTTTGAAATTTGCACTTGAAGGATCTACCGTTCAGGTCAGGCCAATACAGGGAACCAGGAGCTGTACCAGAAACCACTCACTTATCCAAAGCCAAGAGACAAGATACCTGCCCCCTGCCTCTCTGCGTGACCAACTGCAGCGGGTCGGCCTGGTGGGGGCAAGCGGTGACCCCCTACTCGGACGGCTGTGTTGCTATGGGACATCCAGGACAGAGAGGTAGAAAAAAAGGTTTAACGTGAAGCTAGGATAAACGCCCAGAGGAGGAGGACTAGACAAACAGTTTAACGGCCTGGTGCCTTGAAATCCCAGCTCCAATACCTCTTACCTAGGGCAAGTACCTCATGTCTCCAAAGCTCAGTTTGCCTTGCCTATGACATGGGATCATATCCATCTCGCCCGTCTGACAGGGTTACTGTAGGGTCACATGTGCAGAAAAGTGCTTTAAAAACAATCACGATACATAGAAATCACAGTGCCAACTCACAGCTGGGTAAAAATACCAGGAATCTCATCATCATTGTGGTGGCTGTCATAATTAGTTACTACAAGGTGAGATGCCTCTGTAAATGGGAACTCTCTTTAGACTGCAGATAATTGCAACCTGGAAAATTCCAAATGGGGGCAATTAAAAAAAAATGCATACAGGGGTCCCCAACGTTTTTCATCTCATCAGTTTCTGATCATGGAATGCTGGGGAGGGGACTGCAGAGGCCACATTGGGCAGAAAGGGGTAAACCGAGGCTGGGGGTGACAGAGAAGCCACCAGACATATTCCCCCCGAGTGGCCATCCCCACAAGCCCCCGGGGCCTGAGCTGGGCAGCGGCCTCGGCGGGGGCAGATCACAGCCTGCAGGTTGGGGACCCCTGATGAATGCAGATGCACATTGAATATTGACATCATACGTATCGGCATATGTATCTCTCTTGCTACTCACACTGGAGAAGCTTTATATCTATTAGAAGTTCCAGAGTCAGGAGAATCACCACCAATATTACACAGGCTACCAGGAAACTGTTGAGACTTGCACTGAGCAAAAATACCTGCCACACGGCTGCTCTCTTCCCACAGCACGGCTTCAGCCAGTTAGACCTGCGGGGACAAAAGTGAGGAGAAGAGAGGCTGAGAGTGCGAGGGGACAAGCGGGCGGGCCCTGCCACAGCCCTGTGCTCAAACCCACCAGCGTCCCTCCTCCAGGCTCTCTTCCCGGCTCTAGGCTTCATGGCCAAACACAACCTTATTCAAGAGGCTGGGGAGAACCATCAAGGGTGAAAACGTCTCATTAAGAAAGAGAGCTGACCATTTTTTATTTTTTTTTGAGATGGAGTCTCACTCTGTTGCCCAGGCTGGAGCGCAGTGGTGTGATCTCAGCTCACGGCAAATGGGTTGTCTCCTGGGTTCAGGCAATTCACCTGCCTCAGCCTCCCGAGCAGCTGGGACTACAGGTGCACACCACCATGCCTGGCTCATTTTTGCATTTTTGTAGCGATGGGGTTTCATCATGTTGGCCAGGCTGGTCTTGAACTTCTGACCTCGTGATCCGCCCACCTTAGCCTCCCAAAGTGCTGGGATTACAGGCATAAGCCAGCGCTCAGAGCTGGGCTTATATGCAAACCCACAACGCGTGCATCTCTGTGCTTCAGTCTTCTCAAGGTTAAAAAGGGTATGAGATTGACATCTGGTGGACTAGCGGATGGTCGGCCTATGTGGCAAGTGGAGCTTGGAAACGGTGTGTTATTATTGCATTTCTGTACATCTCAGAACGCGGTGACATGGGCTCTGGCATTTGGGAGCATCTCAATTTGCCTTTAATAAATGCTTGAGGGCCGGGCGCGGTGGCTCAAGCCTGTAATCCCAGCACTTTGGGAGGCTGAGGCGGGTGGATCACGAGGTCAATAGATCGAGACCATCCTGGCCAACATGGTGAAACCCTGTCTCTACTAAAAATACAAAAGTTAGCTGGCCGTGGTGGCGTGCACCTGTAGTCCAAGCTACTTGGGAGGCTGAGGAAGGAGAATCGCTTGACCCCGGGAAGCGGAGGTTGCAGTGAGCCGAGAACACACCACTACACTTCAGCCTGGGTGACAGAGTGAGACTCTGTCTCAAAAAAAAAACAAATAAATAAAATGCTCGATGAATCACTGAATGGATTTTCCATTTTATGGCTATAAAAAGAAAGATTTGAACCAGATCCTTGTTTTTCAAAGTAGGCTGAGTGGAACACTAGTTCCACAGAACGTTCATAGTTGTTATTTGACACAAAAGTTTCCATGGTTGGGTACGTTTTGGAAAATTTGGGTCCAACGAAGTTTAATGGGAATGTTTCTCCACGGGGCGTTTTAGGGGCTTCAGTATGCTCTTATGCATCACCGTGGTCCCAAAGGGACTGCAGAATCAGGGCTTCCCAAACTTGCTGGACTGTGTGGCGCCCTGTCACGGAGCCAGAATCCGACGAGACGAGAGTCCCACGGACTTTCTGGGCAACTCGTGACTATATGATCCTGGACATCACAGCAGAGGCGAGGCCGCTGAGGATGGAAACCTTCCTGAGCAGGTCTGGAGGTGGGAGGGGTCAGGGAATCTCAGGGCTGGGTGGCACCACAGGGCACTGGATGCCCTCCTCTCAGGAGCACAAGAAGGGCACCGCTGAGAAGCCTGGGGAATACAGGGATGGGGGAGCTGAGGTCAAACCTCACCGGCTTGGTAGTTTAGGTACCAACAGGACCTGCCTGCCTCCCTTGCTGGGGAAGAACTAGGTACCCTGAAGTGGCAGCCATGGCACTCGCCCAGGAGACCACACTTCTGGCTCTGCCTCTGGCCACCCCGGGGTCCCGTGCGAAGGCTCCTCACCATGTGTAATCCCTGAGAATGCTCCTGAACTCATAGGCCACTAAGTTAAATGAGGGAATTTATCTGCCCTGTAATGACAATGCAGCTGAAATGGATTCATGATGATGACGATGATGATAAACTATCTGGCGGCCCAAACACGGGACCACCACCTCCTGCTCTTTCCCACCCAGAGGGAGCCGATCAGTCGCAGCTGCTGCCAGGAGGGCCAGCGCCCACCTCCTGCAGATCCCAGGCCTGTCATGGGGCTGGGAAGGGGGCATCCCCGTGTCTTGGAAGGAATAACGTGAATGCTTCAAGGAGATTTCCCCCTCACAGTCCATCCAGGAAAGCTGGAAGGACAGACAAACCTCACAGATCTTCAAGAAACCTGGCAGGGCTGGGCGCAGTGGCTCACGCCTGTAATCCCAGCACTTTGGGAGACTGAGGCGGGCAGATCACGAGGTCAAGAGATCGAGACCATCCTGGTCAACATGGTGAAACCCCGTCTCTACTAAAAACACAAAAATTAGCTGGGCATGGTGGCGCGTGCCTGTAATCCCAGCTCGAGAGGCTGAGGCAGGAGAATTGCCTGAACCCAGGAGGCGGAGGTTGCGGTGCGCCGAGATCGCGCCATTGCACTCCAGCCTGGGTAACAAGAGCGAAACTCCATCTCAAAAAAAATAAAAATAAAAAAGAAACCTGGCAGGAAGCTGGGCTTATTCACCTCATTCTGAATATTTTCTAACACTCTGGGAATGACAGGCCCCATCCTCAACTCTGTGGGTAATGCAAAGGCTGGTGTTCAGTCCCCAAACTTGGGGAGCTGCTCCCAGAAAGAGAGGTAGGAGGATACCAACAGGCAGAGGAGGGGGAGGAAGAGGCCCTTTTGGATGGGGCTGGTCTGTGTGAACCCCACATGGTCCAAGAGTATGGGGCAAGGGATGAGGAAGTCAGCCAGGTCAAAAGAGAGGGTTTCTCATAAAGGGACAAGCAGAAAACAGGAGGGGAAGGGTCTGTGGAGGCCAGATGGGGAAGGCCATGGATGAACACCTTCATCGCCCACTGCAGGTGAGTCTCCAAGTCCACCGCAGAACCAGTTTCTTTCTGCTTTCTTGCAGGCGCACAGGGGCTAATCCCCAAGCAAGAGGAAACCCCAAGCTGAATCTGGGAGGAGCTCAGGAGAGTTGCCAGATCAAACAGGATGTCCGTTACATCCCAACTTCACATCAACAATGAGCAATTTTCTAGTAGACCCTGAACATGGCATATGGCACACTCAGACTAAAAAATGCTTATCTGACGTCCAAATTTAACTGGGAATTCTGTATTCTTATTTGCTAAAGCTGGCAGCCCTAAACCCAAGAGCCAAGGGGTCGGGAGGGGCCCTGGTGAGGGCAGCTGTGATTTGATCAGAGAATGGATGGGAACCCCGGGGTGCCGGCAGAAAGCCAGGTGAGCTGGGGACAAGCACATGAGAAGGCCATCTGTCCTGGAGAGGCCACGGGGAGGGACCCGGCCACGGAAGCCAGGTGCTCGGATGACAGCTTTGGCCCTGCCGGGCTGGAGGCTCGCACAAGCCTCAGGCTGCTGCCCGAAGCAGTACCAGCCGCACGGCACGCCCATCTGCTAACGAGCCTTTGCATTTTAAGGTATCTTTGGCTATCATCACGTGGCTACCCTCCTCACTCCTGATGCTTCCGGCGTCACCTACTCCCCCCGCCCCGCTTCCTTTCCCATAGTGACGTGATGTTCCTGCCTCTCCTTCCGCCCCATTTTCATCCTTCGCACTTCTCACCCCAAGTTCATGCCCAGCCTCCAGCCACCTCAGCGCCTCCGGAATCAGGTCCCCTCCTGCCCTCTCTGCCTGCTCACTCCTCCCCCACGGCTCTAGCTTGGTCTTTTCCAGGGCCCAAAGACACCGGCTCCAATTCCACATCCCCCTCAAAGTTCCCGTGTCCGTGGTCCCTAAAACGGACGCCATGTCATTGTGATTTGAAATCTGAGCCAAGCACCCTCAGGTGGTTATGAATTAAAGGGTCGTCTGCCAGGGCCGGCCAGCAGGAAGCCTCACCTTACATTCCACGGAAGGCACTGGGCATTTGTTCACCTTTGTGCCTTGGACATCCCTAAGACATGGCTCCTTCGACCCCAGAGGAGGGTCCGGAAGGGAGAAGGGAGTGAAACAAAGCCTCGTGTTCAGGCATTCATTCCGTACATTCAGTTCCCTATAAACAGGAGACTCAGATCATGACCTGCCTCCAAGGGAGGAAAAGCCAATGTACATTGCTGTTTAAATGTTGGTTTTTCTCTTTTTTTGGTTAGAGAAACTTACAAACTGCACGGGGTCCAGGTGGTTGGTGGGAAGCCGCAGGTGCAAAGGGTGGTGGGGCCATGCCCAGAACTTGTAGCAAGGGAGAGAGACGCAGGTGGGCGTCTGGAGTTCCCTGTGGTCTGAAGTCTGCTCATAGTTGGCCTGGCCCTGACACCAGAGCACACTCCAGCCAGGCAGAGGACCCCGCAGATGGCGGGATTCAAACGCCAGACGGGGGATGACGGCCCGGAAGTCAAACGAGGGCTGTCCCCCACCGCCGTGAGCTAGGCAGGCAGGGTGATCAAGAGAAGCGAAAATCCCCACTCTCGGGCAGGCTATGCTCTAGTGGGAGAGGAGGTCAGACAGTAAACACAGCAGGTGATGGCTTGCTACAAGGCCACAGGTTCTGTAAGGAAGAAACGCTGAGCTGGTGGAGGGATTCGGACAGTTAAGGATGAGCTGACATTTTAAATATGGTGGTCAAAGCAGGCCTCAGCGAGAAAGCAACATTTGACAAAGCCGACGGGGGTGCGGGGAGAGTGATCCAAGCCATGGTTGAAATGTACACTAAACAGGGACTGTTTCCGGTACAGTTATATTCAGCCCTGAAGTACCCCCGGCATGAGAAACACCAGGGGAGCCAGGAGTTGGGCCGGGGGGGAGGACAGGGCTTCCCCCTTCAGTGGTGGGTATAGCTCACCACCCACTGACACCCAGGGCAGATGCTGCTGGAGCAGCCACAGCCAACACAGCACCCAAGAACCCCGAGTCGCGCCTGTGCCGAAGCCCCTCTGGTCCCGTTCTTCCATTCCCGTGCCAGCTCACTTGTCCCCTGCCCACACTCTGCCCTCAGCAACCCGCCCCTCCTCCGTGCCAGTCTGGGGGTGGGTTCATGCAGGCCTCCTTGTTTGCTCTGGGCACCCCCTCCTCTCGGTGACCCCAGGGCCAG